GCAGCGTCCTGAGAGGCCCCTAGTGCCTGCCCTTCCCATGCTTTGCACTCTGGGGTGCAGCTGGATGCCATCCCCTTGCCCACCCACTTGTCTTCCCCCTCCCCAGACAGCAGCTTGGACTTGAACCACGGCAGCGACCCTGGCCCAGAGGAGCCAGAGCCCCTGGAGCTCGAACCCCCACTGGCACCTGAGTCCCCAGCTCGGTCCCCCTCCCCCGAGGAGGAGGAAGAGAGGGATGAAGAAGCTTGTGATGAGGGGTGCCCGGAGGTGTCTGCTGCCCCTGAAGTAGACGGTGAGGAGGCTGCACCACTCAGCACATCAGTCAGCGGTAAGCACCAGGGCCCCCTGCATGCCCTACCCCCCCGGAGCATGTTAACTAGCACGTGTCCTCTCCCAGCAGCCGAGACCCCACGCCGCCGCATTGCAACGGAGGAGGAGGTGCGCTTCCCCCTGCAGCACGGGTAGGTGCTGCTCCTGGGCGGGGGCCAGGGGGAGCACAGGGGAGAGGGGAGCTGGCACATGCCGAACCAACGGGCTGTGATGTGCAGGTGGCGCCGGGAGGTGCGCATCAAGAAGGGCAACCACCGCTGGCAGGGAGAGACCTGGTACTACGGACCCTGTGGCAAGCGCATGAAGCAGTTCCCTGAGGTCATCAAGGTAAGGCCGGGCTGGGGGCCTTGGGGGTCTTTCCCTGGCACTAGCACTTTGGATGGTTTCCAGGAGCCGGTGGTTGTGAATGCCACGTGCTGAGGATGGACAGCACTGGGTCCCACCCCCATGGCCCAGCCCCATGATTCTGTGCTCTCCTGCCAGGCATTGCTTCTTCCATCAGCCCCTGTCAGGTTGTGAGGGGGGGAGCTCTCCCCAGCCTTCAGCCCTGACCGCCTCCCCCCACTGTTGCCCCCAGTACCTGAGCCGCAATGCGGCACTGGCTGTACGGCGCGAGCATTTCAGCTTCAGCCCTCGCATGCCTGTCGGAGACTTCTATGAGGAGCGTGACATGCCCGAGGTGAGGGCTGAGAGATTTGCAGGGGAGGGGGCTGATCGTGGGGTGGTGGGGTGGGGGTTACAGCTAGTTCTGGGGAGGTGGTTGGGGGGGCTGCAGCCCTGGGGGTACTTGGAGGAGGGGGACTGGGAGACAAGTCAGGAGCTGTGGGGGTCCAGGCAGGGGACATTGCAGTGGTGGCAGGGCAAGAATAACCCCCCAGCAGGGCTGACTCTGGCTCCCCGGTCCCACTAGGGCCTGCAGTGGGTGCGGCTGACCCCGGACGAGATCCCTGCCCGCATCCAGGCCATCACGGGCAAGCGCGGGCGCCCCCGCAATGCTGAGAAGGCCCAACCCAAAGACCCTCCAGCCGCCAAGCGAGGCAGGGGCCGTCCCCCCAAGGTCCGCATGCTCGACCTGCTCAGCAAGACGGATGCCCGACTACTCCGCCGGCTGGAAGCCCAAGGTACCCTCCCGTTCCCTCTCCTCTTCCCCATGCCAGAGCCAGCCTCCACCTGCTCAAGTGGCCCTGTGGGCTGGCAGGGCCTCTGCTGAGGGGTGATGGGTCTATCCTGCCACCAGGCCCGAGAGAGGGCTGCCCCCACCCATGCCCCAAACCATGAGCGAATTTGATCCCTTCCTCCTTCCCCATTTGCCAGAGGTACTCAGTGATGAGGACAAGCTGAAGATGAGCAAGATCAAGAAAAAGATGAGGCGGAAGGTGGGTGTGGGGGCTGGAGACAGCCTCAGACACCCCCCCACCTCCACTGCTTCCTGTGTTATGGGGCCCTGGTGTCATCCCTGTGGTTACCGCGGAGTCCAGGTTGGGATCTGGGGGTGTTGCAGACCCTGGGGCTCTGGACCTGGCGGTGCTCACTGCCAGCTGTAGTCGGTGTGGGGGGACTCCGTGGTGCTGCCCCCAGGGCTCGGTAAGGGGGGCTGGGCCAGACACCTGAGCCCCACTCATCCCCTCCAGGCGAAGAACAAGCAGAAGCAGGAGGCCAAAGCACCCAAAGCCAAGGAGGCCAAGAGGAAGGGCAAGGTGGGTGTGAGGTTTGGGGTTGGGGCAACGGGGGTAGTCTCTGTGGCTCTAACCGTTGCTCTGTCCATGTGCTGCAGGCTAAGGAGAAGCGGGGCAAGGCGGAGAAGGCCAAGGAGAAGCCACGGGCCAAGGACAAGAAGGGCAAGGGGGGGCGCAAAGCTGACAAGATGCTGCTGGCCCAGCGGCGGGCAGAGGAGCGGCGCCGCCACCAGAGCATCCTGGAGGAGATGAAGAAGCCCACGGAGGATATGTGCCTGGGGGATCATCAGGTTGGCCACACACTGCGGAGGGGCGGAAGGACTGTGAGGGGGGGAGCTCCTGGCTCTGACGCCCTCCTTGTCCCCCCACAGCCCCTGCCCACCTTCTCCCGCATCCCTGGCCTGGTGCTGCCCAGCACTGCCTTCTCAGCCTGCTTGGCCACCGTGGAGTTCCTGCACAGCTACGGCAAAGTGCTCGGCTTCGACGTGCCCCGCGATGTGCCCAGCCTGGGCACCCTGCAAGATGGGCTGCTGGGGCTGGGCCAGGGGCCTGGCCAGCTCCAGGACCTGCTGGTGCGGCTGCTGCAGGCCGCGCTCTACGATCCCGGCCTGCCCGCCTACTGCCAGGTACGGGGAGGGGATGGGGACAACACAGCTGTGGAGGAATTCCCACAGAGGGGGAGTGTTCTGGGTGCAGCTGAGACGGGGGCCCCCAAAGGGGGGCACTTGAGAGCAACAGGAGAGGAAAAGGGGCTCTTAGCAGTGGTGGGGATTGACTGTCCCCTTTCGGGGGCACAGGTGCTCCTGTGCCTGAACAAGTGTTCATATGGAACAGGCGCGTGTCTGTGCGCATGCGGATGCAGATGTCTTAAGTTCGTGTGTGTGGGTGTGCCTGTACGCATGCCTGTGTGTGAATGCAGGTATGTGTGCCCATGTACCTGCATGCACGTGTGCGTACTGGTGCAGGTGGCTGTGGGGGTGTCTGTGCATGCATGTGTGTATGTGCAAGCCCACGTGTCTAACACGTCCCTCCACCCGCAGTCTCTGAAGATCCTGGGGGAGAAGGTGTCTGAGATCAGCCTGACACGGGACACAGTCTCTGAGATCCTGCGATGCTTCCTGGCAGCGCACGGGGCGGGGGCGGAGCTGTGCACGGGGCTGCACACACAGCCCTTCCAGGCGCTGCCTCCTGAGCACAAGGCGGCCGTCCTGGCCTTCCTCATCAACGAGCTCAACAGCAGCGCCCTCATCATCAAGTAAGGAGGGCCAGGGCAGCAAGCCACCTGGAAGGTTTAGGGGTGGAGCCTGTTGTGAAACTACACATCCCAGCATGCATTGCTGCAGCCTGGAGCCAAGGGCAGGGCTGTGGCTGTGCATGGCCTGCTGGGATCTGTAGTCACCCTGGAGTGCCCTTGTATGGGGGGGAAGGAGGGGGGGCCTGATGGCTGGACCAAGGGGGGCTGCTCTGCTGCATCCTAACCTCCCCCACCCCCTTCCTCCACAGCGAAATTGACAAAACGCTGGAGAGCATGTCCAACTATCGCAAGAACAAGTGGATCATCGAGGGCAAGCTGCGCAGGTCGGGGCCCATGGGCTGGGAGCTGAGGGGAAGGGGAAGGGGCAAGGGGGACTATCTGTTACAGCTCAGCTTGGAGGGGGGCAAGGAGGTGGCATGGGGGCTCAGGCCGGTGTCCTGCAGGCTGAAGCTGTCCCTGGCCAGGAAGACTGGGCATGCTGAGGGTGAGCTGCCAAATCCGGATGAGGGGCGGCGCCGGCGCAGCTCCCGCCTCACGGAGGAGAACAGTGGCCTGGAGCCGGAGGAGGATGATGAGACCCGGGGTCACAAGTCCCGCAAGGAGGAGGAGGTGACGCAGCCGGGGTGGGCGATGGGGTCAGGGGGAAGTGTGGGGAGCTCCTGTGAGCACCAGAGCCAGGACTCCTGGGTTCTGTTCTCAGCTGCCGCCTCACTTGTCCCTTCCCCGTGCCTCAGTTTCCCCATCTGGGCAGCAGGGACGAAGGCAGTGCCCAAGGGTGCCAGCAGCAGAGCCAAGCGGTTCCCAGTCCGCTGCAGCTTCTGACCTGTTCCCTTCTTCCCCTCCCAGGCTGAGGCGTCCGCGTCCAGCATCCCCGAGCTGGAGCGGCAGATCGAGAAGCTCACCAAGGTGAGGCTGTGCTGGGGGTGGT